CCAGGGTGTCAGGCAGAGGTCCTTCCCGTCCCCTCCTGCCTGTTCCTTTTAACTGGAGATGCCGGGGATCGAACCTGGTACCTCCTGCATGCCAAGCAGAGGCTCTTCCAGTGAACTACAGCCCCACTTCATGGCTCTCCAGGGTCTCAGGGGAAGGTCTTTCCCATCCCCTCCTATATGATCCTTTTAACTGGAGATGCCGGTGGTTGAACCTGGGACCTCCTGTATGCCAAGCAGAGGCTCTACCACTGAGCCACAGCCCCACTTCATGGCTCTCCAGGGTCCCAGGCAGAGGTCTTTCCCATCACCTCCTGCCTGGTCTTTTTAACTGGAGATGCCGGGGATCGAACCTGGGACCTTCTGCATGCCAAGCAGAGGCTCTTCCACTGAGCTACAGCCCCACTTCATGGCTCTCCAGGGTCTCAGGCGGAGGTCTTTCCCATCCCCTCCTGCCTGGTCCTTTTAACTGGAGATGCCGGGGATTGAACCTGGGACCTCCTGCATGCCAAGCAGAGGCTCTGCCACTGAGCCACAGCCCCACTTCATGGCTCTCCAGGGTCTCAGGGGGAGGTCTTTCCCATCCCCTCCTATACGATCCTTTTAACTGGAGATGCCGGGGATCGAACCTGGGACCATCTGCATGCCAAGCAGGTGCTCTGCCACTGAGCCACGGACCCGCCCAGGATCACATCGAGCGGCCTTCTACTGAACCAGACCCTTGGTCCATGAAGATCACTATTGCGTACTCAGACTGGCAGCAGCTCTCCAGGGTCTCAGGCAGAGGTCTTCCCCATCACCTACAGCCTGGTCCTTTTGACTACCAGCGATTGAATCTGGGACCTCCTGCATGCCAAGCACCCTGATCCAATAGCCCTTTCCCGACTCCGTCCCCCAGGTATCTCTGGGGTGGGTGTGTGTGTGAAAAATACAGCTGCACTGCTTACATCCAATTGACTGCCCTTGCATTCTTTGTTCGCATTTGCGCCGTGCAGGTAGAAGTGGCTTGATTAGAGCTTACCTTCCTAGTTTCCCAAATCTGCGTGCGTCCTGGTGTCTCTTACAAGGGGACGGCAGAAGATGTCTTCTGGGTTGATGGGGCACAGCCGGGATATAGGGTAGAGGCTCCAGGTACGCTGGCTTGAGTCACCTGCAACAAGGGAAGCTTGTGGCTTTTACCTGGCTAGGAAAGGCGCGCAGCCCGCTAGGCTGACGGCAGGTGACTCACAAAGGAGTGGAAGCCACGTTTCCCATCTGCTCCGGCACTGGAGGAATAGAGGAAGGGGGGAAGTTTCTAGCAGCAGTCGCACCTGAACAGATGAAGATAGGCGGGCACCTGCCAAGCTTGCAAAAAGTCCTCTGTGGAGTCGGCTGGCGGGTGTCGGAAGCGATACGCGTTCCCCGACAGCAGCGGCTGATACCAGAAATGCCTTTCGAAGGCTTGGAAGGGACACACCCAGCTCGGCGGCTGCCAGCAGGGTTGTGCGTTCAAAGTTCAGTCCAGAGGAAGTGACTGAGTCTTCACACGGCCCCTCTTTTCTCCTCCTGTACCATAGCAAGGGGTCAGGGTGCTCTCTTGCAAGATCACCGGGCCTGTAGCCACGATTTTGCAGTGTGTGGGGCAAAACGTTTCTGGTGGGGCTGCCGTTGTTTACTATAATGAAGGGGGGGCAGTGTATGCCCCTCTCCCTCGCCTCCTGCAAGATTGAAAGGGCCCTCCAGCTGATTAGCTGCGGTAAAGGGTCAAGGTCTCCCTTGCTCGAAAGCCAGTCGGATCCGACTCTAGGGCTGCGGTGCTCATCTCCGTTTCCAAGCCGAAGAGCCGGCGCTGTCCGAAGACGTTTCCTTGGTCATGTGGCCGGCATGACTAGATGCCGAGGCGCACGGAACGGTGTGACCTTCCACCGAAGCGGCACCTATTTATCTACCTGCAATTTCTCGCTTTCGAACTGTTAGGTTGGCAGGAGCTGGGGCCAGAGATGGGAGCTCACTCCGTCACACGACACTCAGGTCTCGAACTGCTGAACGACAGACCTTCCACTCGTACTACTGAGCCACCGCCCTTTAAATCTTGCAAGAGGGGTGGGCGAGGGGGGCACCACCTCCCCAGTTCTTCTCAAAAGCATTTAAAGAATCCATTTAAATGCTTTTTGGAAGAAATGGGTGGGGCCTTTAAGGAAGGGGGCCTGGCCCTTTAAAGAAGGGGGCAGAGCTCTCAAAAGCCCCACTGTTTTTACGGGCCAGAAGGACACCCTTTGAAACGGATTGGCGGGAGGGGAAGATCCCAGGAGCTCTTCGTCCAGGGCAGAATTCACTGGAGTCACTGTGACCAGATGTGGTGAGGATTAGCAGCCCGAACAGCTATTTAAATTTTTTAAAAGAAGTGACCCATCCCTGGAATAGGAATCAATTGGTAGCCTTCCTTTTGAGATAGCCATGGAATCGAAATCCACCAATAGCGATGCTGCAGCGCATTTTTCCTGCTCCAGCAACAACAAAGATCTCCACCATTACAGAAAGAGGAAGAAGCAACAGCAGAAGAAAAGAACAAAGGAATAAAACCACAGAATGTGTGTGTGAGCGGGAGGGATGCGCGCAGGGGCGGATGAAGGCTCACCGGTGCCCGAAGCACTGACCAATCTTGGTGCCCCCCCTCCTTTCCACACTGACCCCCAGTCCGTTTTAGTGGTTGACCTGTCCAGGGCTCATTTTGTAGAAAAAGCCCAGCAGGAACTCATTAGCATAATAGGCCACACCCAACAGCAGGAACTCATTAGCATGTTGGGCCACACCCCACAGCTCATTAGCACATTAGGCCGCACCCCCATGTTACCAGAAGTGTGGTCATCCAGCCACACCCACCTTTTGCTTCTTATTCTGTTTACCTTGTCTGTTGTCAAAACCCAGGGCCTTTTTTTGTAGAAGGAACTCCTTTGCATGTTAGGCCACACATCCCTAATGTAGCCAATCCTAATGGGTTTCTGCTGTTGGGTGTGGCCTATTATGCTAATGAGTTCCTGCTGGGCATGGCCAACTTGGGAGCCAGCCGGAACTCTGTTCCTGTGCGTTCCTGCCCAAAAATAGCCCTGGACCTGTCTGACCAGATATACAATGCAGGCTGCAGCAATACAAAAATGTATTCATAGGATAACACAATATACCCTTTTCCCAACTTTGTGGTGCCCCCTTTGGCCCTGGTGCCCTAAGCACGTGCTTCGTCTGCTTAATGGTTAATCTGCCCCTGGGTGCGCGCATGAACACATGGATCCGCCTTGTACCGAATCAGACCCTTGGTCCATCACGGTCAGTCTTGTCTACTCAGAATGGCAGCAGCTCTCTGGGATATTAGGGTCTCAGGGATCTCCCATCACCTACTGCCCGATCCTTTTAACTGGAGATGCTGTGGATTGAATCTGGGGAAGTTGGAAGGGACCTCCAAGGTCAGGTAGTCCACCCCCCTGCGCAATGCAAGAAATTCACAAATACCACCCCCAACCCATGGCGACCCTTTCCTTTGCCTCCTAGGGGGTAGAGATGGGTCTTCTGCAAAGGAGACTGTCCAAAAGCTTCTTTTCAATTTAATGTTAATCCAGCAAGATTTGTGAGGTTTTCCTAGGCCCTTTTATGAATATGTTGGAAAAATTGGCAAAAATATTTAGATATTCAGAGTTTGCAATGGACCTTTGCTTCACTGGAGAGGAGGCCTTTCTTTCTGTGTAAAATCTTTCTTTCTAAAGGGAAATCTACACAATAATAAAGGCTACATCTCTACAGCTACAAAAACAGACCAACCACACGGTCTCTCAACAACAACTGTAATGGAGATTATTCTTCTTCTTGACC